GTAGAGTGCTCGGTTAGTGTGTACAAAATCCTGAGACGGGGTTTCTCTGTAGCCCTGGCCATATTGGAACTCACTCTATAGACCAGAATGGTCTTGAACTCAGAGATCCGCCTACCTCTGCCTCCCAAGTGCTGGGAATTGAGGTGTGTGCCTTCCTCCCCTGGTCTGAATCATTTTTTTAACACCAGAGGAGAAGGAGGAATCATCTGTCAGCCAAGTCACATCTCAAGGGAGGAAGAGTGAGGGCAGCTGCTGCATAGCAGGGACAGGGCTACTGTGGAAGGCAGAGAGCAGACGGTGGCAGACAGACTTGTGAGTCTGGGAATTCACCATGAGATAATACACGGGGAGTGAACAGGACCCCACCAGGCACTTCCAGTCCTCGTCTAATACAGGAACAAAGGAAGCCACTTGACAGATATTAAGTAGAAGAGAACACAGGAGGCCACCTGGTCCCTGACGGCTCGTCACACATAAGCCCTGCGCAGGAGGGACTCTGGGTGTGCTTATCTTAGGACAAGCAACTAACAGAGTTGGAGAGATTGCCCGGGAAACTTTTGGTAGGAGAATCAAAAGTAGACTGTCTAGTCCCCATGTGCATCTAAGATCAGGATAATGCCAGGAAAGTGCATTATACCATCCCTCTGACCCAACAGAAACATATTTACGTTAGTAAGTACATTAAAGGCTTCTTTAAAAATACATGCACTCAACTTCATGGAATGTTCTATTTTAAAAATGACCTGAATGTTCTGCATGTACCATGGACTCAAAGACAAGATTCTTTTCTATTCTTTTAACAAAGCATGCAGATGAATACAATTGATGAGGTGGTGCACAGAAATCTGATTTAGTGAGTGGGGAATGCAGTTCATTTGGTCATGCCTCTCCTAGCATGCACAAAGCCCTGAATCCCATCCCTAGTAGTAATTCTTAAAACTGGGCCTGGTGGTGCAGCCTGTAACCCTGCCTCCAAGGAGGTGGAGACAGGGTCAGGAGTTTGAGGTCACAGACGCACTACATAGTGAGCTGGAAGCCAACCTGGGCCACATGAGACTCTGTCTCAAAAACACATAGCAAACAAGCTGAAAGTCACTAGAAAAAGCATAGGATACAAACATTTGTGATAAAACAGGGAGAGCATCCAGTGGAGCACAGCATCATGCAGGAGGGAACTGCTCTGAACTGCTAAGGTATCCAGGGAGGACTCAGTGCCACTGTCTTTGGGGCCACATCTTGGAGAACTCTGCAGCAGACCAAACTAAGTGAGAGCATTCACAACATCTGAAAAGGGGAAATCGTGACCCAAAAGAAGGATGGGCACATTTGGGATAAGTTAACAATAAATCTGGAGGATGGTCAAGATGGGCTCAGGATACTAGGGCAAGAATGCCTTCTTGCATGACAAGGCTGTGGGCAGACACATAGAGGGCACACTTGCAGTGCCTCTCAGATCCTGGCTGCACTGGGCACGATAGCTCCCTTCTGCTGAAGCAAACTATTTGCTCTACAGGCATCTGTATGCTTTGTTCTCTCGAGATTCAGACCTGGGTCCTTTCTAGTGTACTGCCTTCAGGTGGCGAGGCCCTCCCATTACCTGCATGATTGACATGCCAGGAGTCCCTTGTCATTTCTGTCACTCCTATGTAGACCCTGAAACCTCTGTTCCCTGGCCTCAGGGAGAGTTCTGGAGCCTGACTTCTGCCTACATATCCCTTGTGGAATCTGGTGGAATGTGTTCATTCAAAACTGAGCCCTGTCCCATTCTTTCTTCTTCCTGTCTTTTCTTCCAGCTTCCTAACCTGGCTTCTCTGGAGAGCGCCACCTTCCTCCCCCAATAACAAATCATCCAAACAGGAATTCTTTCCCAAGCTCCTGCACCTGATGGCCAAAGCGCACTTTAACTTCCCTAACAGGCCCAGGAACGCCTCATCGTTGGAGAGGAGAAGCTTTAGTGGAATGGCAGACCACAGCCAATTGCGGAGCGTGAAGGGGGTGGGAGTTGTGGACACTGCTGTTCTTTTTGGGTATCCTACACTTTCTTCAAAGCTTTTATTATGTTTGAGTTGTTTCCAGATTCTTATTTCTTGCCTCATCAAAGCAGAACTCAATGATTAAATCTCCATCATTTTGTGCAGGTGGACTGTGGCAATGTGGGACCAAACACATCAGACACACCCATGCCAACCTTCTTGTAACATGAGGGGGCTGGGCCTCTTGTTGGAGGTTTTCTGTCCTGCCTGGCCCCCCAGCTGTTTAGTCCCAGAGAAAAATCAAACAGAGAACTCCATAAATTATAAAGCTGATTGGCCCATTATCTCTAGTCTCTTACTGGCTAACTCTCTTATCTTGATTAACCCAATTTTCTGATCTATTTTAACCAGGTGGCTCAGTACCTTTTTCAGTGGTGCAGCTCACATCCTGCTGCTTCTGTGGTCTGGGAAGGAGTGGGAGGAATCAACTTCCTCCTCCCCAGAATTCTCCTGCTCTCTTTGCATCATTTCCACTTCCTGTCTGGTTTCCCTGCCTACACTTCCTGCCTGGCCAATCAGCGTTTATTTAAAACATGATTGACAGAATACAGACAATTCTCCCACACCACCCTCTGCTTAGCTGCTCGCTTGAAAAAGGGACTGTTGTGTTCAGTTCATGAAACATACATGGTGGAAGGGGAGAACTAATAATGTAACTGTCTTCTGACCAGCGCACACACAAATAGGTAAATAAATGTCTTTTCGAAAGGAAAACAACCTGCTGAAATTGAGGGGGGAGAGAAGGAGAGAGAGAGAGAGAGAGAGAGAGAGAGAGAGAGAGAGAGAGGTAAACAGAGACTGCTCGTTCGTTCCTGGACACCCAGACATGAATAATCACACAGAAACTATATTAATTGCGACAGTATTTGGCCAGTGACTCAGGCTACCTCACTCTTATATCTTAAATTAGTCTATTTATATTATTTTATATTTTGCCATGAAGTTCGTGAGTCAGAGTTTCACTCTATAGTTCTAGCTGGCCTGGAACTGGCTATGTCAACCAAGCTGGCCTTGATCTCACAGAGATCCTTCTGCCTCTGCCTTCTGAGTGCTAGGATTAAACTCTAGGTTTATGTTTATACATTGTATGGGTGGAGGAGCAGCACCACTGTGGGCTAAGGAGGTAAATGTATTCCATCAGGTACCACAGGACAAACTCTGAGTTAAGGAGGTAAATGTATCCATCAGGTACCACAGGACAAACTCTGAGTTAAGGAGGTAAATGTATCCATCAGGTACCACAGGACAAACCCCTAGCTGTAGCAGAGTTTGTCGTCAGGACCGACAGCTCTCAACCACATGGAGACTTACTATTCATTATAAATGCTTAGCTGATAGCTTAGGCTTGTTACTAACTAGCTCTTTTCACTCAAGTTAACCCATAGTCCTTATTTATGCTCTGCCATGTGGCTGTATCTTTATTAGCATGGCATGCTCATCCCCCGCTCCCTCTGCATCTGACTGGTGAACCCATGACTCCTCCCTTCCTCTTCCCAGCATCCTCCCAGTTTGTCTCTCCTGCCTAACCTCTTACTGCCTAGCTATTGGCCAGCCAGGTCTTTTATTAAGCCAATCAGAAGGTGCCTTGTTGGCAAAGATACATCTTCACAGTGCACAAAAAGATTATTCTATAACACCTAGCACTCCCCACACTCTTTGCAGGGTTTTCTCAAGAGCAAATATTATAAGAAATTTAAAGAATGAGTCAGCCTCAGATGAGCCAAATAAAAGAAAGAAATACGAGACATAGGGCCTTCTCAATGTCAACCCCACCCACAAATAGATGCTACGACTGGCTGCCTTTGCTGTTTAAAATGTTTTTTAATAAGCGCTAGCCCGATGTGTCAATAAATACTTAGAGGAAAGACAACATTTTGCACAGCAAAATTCATTGAGACTTTAGACAACACAAAAGCATTATGCACAGTTCATTTTTCTTTTCTGGGAAGGTACAGCCATGCACGCAGTTTGTGGGTGGCTTGAATGTGCTGCCTTTGATATTATCTCATGCCTTGCATTGAAGTAAAGAAGGAGGGCTGGAGAGATGTGATGGCCCAGTGGGGCAGAGCATGAATCATGCCTAGCAGAGGACCCGAGTTTCATCCCCAGCACCCATGTCAGGCTTCTCATAACCATCTGTAAGTCCAGCTTCAGGGCATCTGACACCTCAGGACTCCCTCGGCCCTTGCTCTTATGTGCCAATGCCCTACCCATACACACAATTAAAAAGAAAATCTTAAACTATCAGAGGTGTTTCTTGCTGGCTCTTGGGTAGGAAAGGGGATTTCTGCTCTCTGGGGACAAAGTGGATAAGATAACATCAGGGCCCTGACATCACTGTGATGACTGAAATCTGATGCTGTGGCAGCTGAGAATTCAGGAGGCCAGGGCATTGTCTCGCTGCTCCATTAGTGGAAATAATTTATGTTTAATAAAATACCATGATAAATAAACAAATATAGCAATTTAAAATTGAAAGCAAAAGGAAACATAAACAGCTTCCAAAAAAGGGAGGGAAGGGGTTAGAGAGATGGCTCAGAGGTTAAGAGCACCAACTACTCTTGCAGAGGACCTGGTTTCAATTTCCAGGACCCATATGGTGTCTCGCAGCAATCTGTAACTCCAGTTTCAAGGGATTTGATGCTGTCTTCTGATCTTCAAGAGCACCAGACAGAAATATGGTGTATATGCATACATGCAGGCAAAATACACACATAAAATAAATAAGTCTAAATAACAAAGAATTGTTATTTAGGAGGTAAGAGCAAGGCATTTCTGTTGTGAGTGTGATCTGGTTTAGCTCTCTGGTAAGCATTTCCTTACCGGATTCCAACATGATACATGGATGTTAACCCCAAACAATGGACTGGATTTTGAGTCGAAAGTCCTATTCAATCATTAATAAGTGTGTACATGAGTTAGAAGCTCATGCAAGTCCTTAATTAGAGCATGAAGCCTCCAAACTGAACCAATCTCACGCGGCTTGACCTAGTCATTATTCTTCTGAAAATCCACTGAGACAATCAGAAAGTCTGACTGGAAATCTTACGTGAAGATTCAGCCTAAAGCTGAGGGAGAGGCCGAGCGCCCCCCCTCCCAACTTCCCCTGCAGCTGGCTGCTCAGAGTCTCCAACTTCAAAGGTCCCGCTGTCAAGCGTACACCCCATTAGCTTTGCTGTGGGCAGCACCTCCGATATGGTGATGACGGCAATCACTTAGGAGACCCCTTAGGAGCAGTCCAGAAGGTTGGTGAGCACATGCAGGCCACTATTGCATGCCTAACTCCTGGGCATACCCTGCTTCTTTATCTCACAAGTGCCCCTGAATCGTTCTTGGGGCAGGGGATTAGAGGCAGACCCTGGCTCCCATTGTTGGCTGCTTGCGAGAAAACTCATCATCTCAGCATTAGGTGGGCGCTCTGTGTGTTAAGGAAAATGGGCCTGGTATGGTGGCATACACAAGGATGTTATGTTTTTATAAGGTTTGAAAAGATGTTAGCCAAGTGTGGTGGTGCAGGCCTGCAACCCCACACCAGGGAGACTAAAGCAAGAAAATGGGAACATCTGCAGAAAGCAGGGTTTTGTTGAATATGAAAATAAGGGCATTCAAATGATGTTGAATGGTGTGGTATGTACCTGTAATCCCAGCATTTGGTAGGTGGAGGTAAGATCAGGAGTTCAAGACTAACCTGGGCACATGAGACCCAGACGCAAACAAAAATGAAAACAAAGTAAAAAACAAAATCAAATTGAAAAATTTTAGGGTCCTAAAATTAATAATATATGGAAAAAGAGACAGATTATCTCTGTTATGCCCCAGCTTTATAAAATAATGATTATCATTAGTAACAGCACTCAGCATGTGCATACATAAAAAATATGTAGCAAGCTATTAAGTGTTGAATACTCAGGTGGCAATTCCAGAGATTTTAATTTTCTTCCCGGCATTTCTCCCAGTTTCCTGCTGTGATACTGAACTGCATCTACAAGGGAAAGCCGTGATTTCACGTAAAACTTTTCCACAGTGGGGCGTTCACTTCCGCAGATGGTAGGATTTCAGCCTGGGTGGAACATCAGCCTCTCCTCTCTAAAATCGCGCGATATGAGATGGAGGCATGGGACGGTGGCTCCGCAAAGTGCTTACACAGGAGGACCTGAATTCAGTCTCTGGAACCCGTCTAATAGCTGGGCCAGGTAATCCCAGCCCTGAGGAGGATGCCAGCTGGCTAAGCCACATGGTGAGCTTTTGATTCAGGAATGGATCCTGCATCAGAAAATTGGGTGCAGGGAGATTCAAGAAGACCACCTGACGTTGGCGTCTGGCCTCCACATTCATGTGCACACATCTGTGCACACACACTACTTAAAATATTACAAAAATAAGATTTAGATTCCCAAAGTATTGAAACTCTGGTTGGGACCATTTGAAGGAAGGCTAAGACAGTAAGAATGGAGTCCAGTTCACAGATCCCGGGGTTTTGAAACAGCGGGATGCTCTGGGGAAACACAGGTGGGATTCCCTAGGTCTGAAGGGGGCTGAGTGCCATGGATGATGCTCATTGTTAACAATGATTGGCTGATCGCAGGGCAGAAGAAATTGAGCAAGGCAGCCTGACACAGGGAGAATGCTGGGAGAGAAGGGCAGAGTCAGGGCAGTCGTGGGAGACGCCAGTCAGTCGCCTAGGAAACAAGGCATGCTAGGGGACAGGTAAAGTCATGAGCCACGAGGCAATACATAGATTAGTAGAAATGGGTTCATTTAAATGTAAGAGTTAGGGATGGCCGAGCATTTATGATTTATATTAGCCCCCGAGTGTTTATTGGGACTGGGCGTTCAGGTCGGGAAAACTCTGAAGAGCTCTCTGGGGTTTCAGGTGCTGTGTGTGTGGCTGTGGATTACACTTGGAGTGAGAGTGAAGCGTTACTCTCTGAGCACACAGCGAGGAATCCTCCTTTACAAGATGAGAGACTGAAAGCAAGTGGGACTAGATATACCAGGAATGTGTGTGGCGTCCGGAAGTCCATCTCTGGGAGAACATGCTGGGGTGACAGAGTCACTAAGAGGCTAACAAATGACGTCATGGGGCACTCACACAAATATGGGTCTAAAATATCTATGCTTTTTAAAACGTGTGTATTTTTGATGAACTTTTTTTACTTTTTAGAGTTTCACCTTTCCCAGGTTAGCCTTGAACTCTCTACACAGCTGAGGGTGTTCTTGAACTCCTGACACTCTTGGCTCTATTTCCTTACTGCTGTGACTACAGGCGTGCGTGCACCAGCACACCTAGTCTGTGTGGTCCCCGGGTGAAACCCAGGGCTCTGAGGGTGCCAGTCAAGTTCTCTGCCAACGAGGCTGCCTCTCAACTCAGCTGGGGAGTGTTGTCCAGGAAGGTCGTATGCATCATGTGGCCTCTTTCCTGACGGGGTCATATCAGTGACTGAAAGGACCAGCCCCAATTCTTTCTCTTCTTTTTCCTTCTCCCTTTTCACAGAATCTCTGGGCTCTGTGTGTGCTCAGTAATAAGAGAAGCCAGAGCCCCTGTAGGTCCCAGGAAATACTTTATCGAATCTAAAATTAGACAAGTGCCCATTGTCTCATACAAAAGCAAATCCCATGCACTAACCCAGCAGAAAGCTTCTAGCTCTTAACAAGATAACAAGATTTCTTCATTTTTTTTTTTTTTTTTATCCTGGTGAATGGCAGTTTCCATCCTATCCTGTGGCAGACTGAATTAAGCAAGAACCAAAAGAGCTCTTTTCTGTGAGGGTCCGTAAATCTTGAGATGGGCACTCAGTCGCCTCAAGGACTTTGAAGGACACAGATATTCAGTGGGGAGATAAGTGGCCGTTATTATGGACACAGATGCGCCCTGCCCAGCAGTGCTGTGTTCTATGTGCTTGGCATTCCTCTCAAAATCCAAGAAGGAGGTCTGTAGAGGCGGAAGTTTCTGTCCCGACCTGTTCCCAAGTAACCACTCAGAGGCTTAGTATTAATTATAAATGCCCAGCCAATAGCTCAGGCTTGATAATACCTAACTTTTACCTTTATTTACCATATTTCTTATCTATGCTTTGCCACATGACTTGGTATCTCTTCTCAGAGTGGCATGCTCATCTTGCTTGCTTTTCTCTGCTTCTGTTTGGGATTCCTTAGACTTTGCCATTGCTTCCTCTCAGCATTCTCAGTATACTTCCTTTCTGACTGCCAGCCAGTCAGTTCTTTATCAATCAATATATATATTTTATCAATACACACACACACACATACACACACACACACAGTACAGAAATACTTTTCCACAGCAGATCTGTGAGGTGGCTCAACGGGTGAAGATGCATTGCAGGCCCTGGGGACCTAGGCTGGATGGATTCCTATGACCCACATAAAGATGAAGAAAAAATGGACTTTACATGGCTGTGTTCTGACCACATGCGTGCCATGCACGTGCACCTGCCCCTATATCATGCATACTTTCACACACAATAATGATAAGTAATACTAAAACTGAACAAATAAAAACCAAGAACCATTGTCGGGGGCTGGGTGGGACTGTGGGGAATGACTGCTGCTACCTTAGGTTTCCAGAACAAGATGATCTGAAGTTAGAAAGTGGCTATAACTGCATCATCTAAGTAGTACACTAAAGGGCACTAATTGTACTGTTTAAAATGGAACACAACGACCCCCACCTTAGAGGCATCTGCAGTGTCAGCCAGTTCCATGGTGTGCATGCTGTCAGTATGGCTGACTTCTGGGACAGTAAGAGGAAAATCACGACAGAAATAAAATCGCAAGAACCTTCAAACCATCAGGCAGGCATCCTTCAGAGAGCAGGGCTTACGTTCAACACCAGCTGCTTCCTGGAATATGAACTTTGGTCAACTCTAACCTTTGACCTGAAGACTCTGGAATCATCCAAGAGTGACTCCAGGCCACAGTCATAGGGTGGATGGCTAGATTTGGGGACACTTCTTCTGTTCCTCTTCTCTATGTTGCTCTTTCTTTTTACCCATGATGCTGCGCTCCATTTCTATTTTCAGCAGTTGATACTGATGCCCACTTCTGCCTTTCTTGGAACACAGAAGCTCCTAGACCCTGCTTCCCAAACTACCACTCCTCTAGTTTAGAGTTTGAATTGATTGGAATGTCCATGCCCTGGTTCTCATCGTCTCTATAGAGACTGGAAAACCAGAGTGGTGCAAAGGCCTCACTGTGTGTTAGTCTGTGGGGTGTGCTTTGGGGGTTTGGTTTCATGAAGAGATTATGATCAGTAAAAACGTCCAAGGACCAGGAGTTCAGCACTTATCTTTCACTAATTCAGATATTTGACAACACAGTTAGCATCTATAAAAAGAAAAGATTTATTTTTATTTAGGTGTATATGTATAAAGAAACAGCTGAGTGGTTAAGAGTGCGGACTGCCCTTGCAGGTGACTGGAGTTTGGTTACCAGTTCAAGGTGGGTCACTTTCCAATCACTCTAGACTTTCTGGGGCTTCCACAGGCACCTCCCACACATGGCATCTATATGCGTGGGCACGCATGCATGCATACACACACACATACACATGTAAATAGAAATAAATCTTTTTTTCAAAAGTCCCTGAACACAAACCAGTGCATTATTGAAGACACTTTATCCAGGCTGCTAATGAGCCTGTGTTCTTGCCCCAGCCTCTTACCATCTTCCTCCTTAGTATTATGCTTACCCGGCCTCAGTGCCAATGTTTACGGTGCTGTTTTGAGTCAACAAGCTTTCCTTGCTGTGAGGATTGCTTGCATAGAAGCAGTGCGCCCTTCATGCGGGACAGCTCAAGAATGAGGAAGTAGCAAGGGACCAGGCTTGCTCTAAGTGTGACCTTCAAGTATGTCCTTCATCTGCTCTCAACTAACCTGCATTTTTCTGCGAATCTCAGAACCAGACGAAATTATTTGATTCCAGCAAAAGCATGTCGTAAACCTCTCGTGATCTGTGGGTGCAGCCTATGATCTCATTTACCACTCCATCCCAATTTGCTCAGCACCCCGCAATCTGACTTCAAAAGCACCAGAAATCACACACAAAGCTATTGGAATGGCAAGCTTGGCTCTTTCTTGAGAAGTGCACAAACATACCTGAGTTCTTCTCTTAAAAAGTGTTTACACATTTTGATTGTGTGTGTTCCTGTTTGGTGTGTGTGAGTTCAGGTTTGTGCATGTCAGGACAAGCATGCAGCAACAGGAGGACAGACGGAGTCAGTGTTCTCCTTCTGCCATGTGGGCCTAAAATTGAACCCAGGTGTTCACTTGTCTTGGCATCAAGTGCCCTTTCTTGCTAGGTCATCTTGCTAGCTTTTCTACTTTTTTCTTTTCTTCTTCCTCTTCCTCTTTCCCTTTTCCTTTCTTCCCGTGAGACATGGTCTCATGTAGCCTAGGCTGACCCTGCTATGTAGCTGTGGATGACCTTGAATGCCTGCTCCGTCTACCTCTTTCTCTCCAGTCCTGGGATTTGGGGCAGTTTTCACTATGCCCACTGTTATGTTCTATAATGACCCACTATAAAAGGGTCAGGAAAGTTCCCGGTCTTTGTGGACGCCGTGTTTGTGAGTTAAAAGTCTTATCTTGATATTAAAGAGTGTCAATTCAGAAGTTTTTTTTTAAGGCTAAACTTCACAGGGATAAAGCCATAAAATCCTAATCTTGTGTGATGTATGAGTTAATAGTCAGGCACCTTATAAAGGGTCAAAGTTTTGTTATGTTCAGATTTAGCTTCTCATATATGTTTTCAAAATTAAGCCTAAAACAAGTGACTAGAAACAAGCAATGCTTGTCTCGTTCAGATATACTTAACAGATAATGGTCCTCAAACGCTTCAGAGACCTGCGAATATAACATTTAAAATGTTTAATGGAAAAGCTTTTCATGATAGAGATATGACAGCTTCTGGCAGCATTCCTATCTCTTCCAAAGATGGATGGATACAGAAGAACCTCCACCTGGAGCTTGCTTTAAATGTGACAAAGCTGGCCATAGGGCAGAAAAATCTCACCTTTCACCTGCACTGCTGCCAAGAGTCTATCCAGACTGTGGACATGCAGGACCCTGGGAAGTTGATACCCTGCTTTGCCTAGACAAGGTATACTATTCCCCCAAGTTCCTGCTCCACAGGAAAGTCTGCCGAACTTTTTGGGCCTGGCAGCTGAAGGTTGATGCTGTCCTGGGAGCTCCATCCCCAATGACCATGCAGCGACCTGAGGTAGCTGTCTAGGTAGCCAGCGAATCTCTGCCATTTTAAATAGATTCTGAAGCTGCTTGGTCTGCACTTCTGCTTACTCAGGTGAAATGTATCCTTTTCAGGTCTGATGTGACTAGTGATAGCTTCGCCAATTTAACAACTTCTTCTCCGTATGGCTACAAACCACTTTGTTTGTCGTTAGTCAATTAGTTAGTTCATGCAGTTAATCCATTAGTTAGTTCATTAGTTAAGCTTCTTATTAAAAAGTAAAGACAGGTTTGCCTTGTTCACAGGCTTCATAGTAAAGGATAAAGAGATTTTAGATGTAACTTCCCACTAAAGAAACACAGGAAATGATTTAACATGTATGGATACAACTTGTAAAGGTATAAGTAAATGACTTAAGGTATATAAGGATGTTTCAGACTTCTCTCCCCTTACTATGCTGTTATCACACTGGGATTTCCGAGTTTCAGAGTTTGAGCATTGCTGAACTGATAAATGCAGTTCTGATAAACGGATCGAGCACTCACTACTTAACTATTCAGTCACAAGCTCAAGACTTTAAATTTCCTTGGGTTGTTTTCTAAGCATAGATATGAAGGTGCGCTTCATCAGGCTTAATCCAGGCCCTCTAGACATAGGAAAAATGTTCGTGCCTTTTAGCCAGCAGCCTTTGCTGGGACACCGAGGTGTGGCTCTGCTCCAGATGTTTCACGGACACATGCGTGTTCCCGGGGAAAGAATGCTGCCACTGTATCAACAGATCTGACCTGGTGGAAACTCAAATGGAGTCACGCCACAAATGATCTGAAGGACTTTACCAATACAATCAGGGCGCATCTCTGCTCCATTCTTTCTGGCGGTCTGCACTCTTCCCATGACTAGCCCTCTTCATAAGGCCTGTGGTAATAATCTGTCTGTGTTTTCTTCCAGCAACTTGCCTTCTTTGCTTCTTCCAGGAATGGGTTCGTGAGGTCTCCAGGGTGTAGTCAATGAATGTTTCTTTACCCATGCCTGCCCATCGACTCCTGACTCCTGACTCCATCTCCCCACATGGTCCCAGGCCAACAGGAAGTAGCCAGATTTGAAACCAAGCTCACATACCCAAAAAGGTGGGGATGTTCAGCTGGAAACTTCAGCTCGCCCCAACATGATCAAGAAAGCTCCATTCCTGTCTGTCTCTCTCTCTCCAAAGCCCACACTCTCAGAGTCTCTGAACAAAGGAAAGGCACAGAATGCCTATTTCTGTATTCTTGGTGGCTACAGCAGCTTCCTCCTCCGAACTTGCCAGCCACTCAAGTCCCTGCCTAAAGCCTCCAGCTTTTGACCATACTTGGGCACAAATCCAGCTTGTGACAGACACGTCATCACCCCTCGCCTACAATTTATATAATCTCCCTGCTTTGGTTTGGGCTTGTGACTTCCCAGACCTCTGTCTCTGGAACCAGAGAATCCTCCTGGGAGTTGCATTGATCAAATAAACCTGTTGCTATACCTTTTCAATTTGGCTTGATCTGGCTTACTGCATCGGTGGAAAAACCTATTGTGCGCGGGGAGGCAGAAAACCTATTACCCACAACAACTTCCTTATTATTAATGCCTCTGTTTAAATCTACAATAAAATCATGTGTGTGTGTGTATATATGTGTGTGTATGTGTGCATGTGTGTGTGTGTGTGCATGTGGTATATACATGAATGTACAAGCACAAGTGTTCTCTTCCAAACATTGGCATCACGATGCTGTCCTCAGTTGCTCACCACTTTATCCCTGAGGCAGGGTTTTCTGCTAAACTCAGAGACAGCATTTGGGCTCTACTGGCTGGTCAGTGAGTCCCCCAGAGAGCCTCCTGTTGTACTCTCGTGGTGTTGGGGTTACAAGCACGTGCTGCCTTGCTCTGCTTTTATGTGGTTGCTGGAGAACAAAACTCAGGCCCTCCTGCTTTTGTTTCTGTTCTTTGTTTTGTTTGTTTGTTTTTTTTTTTTTGAGACATAATTTCTTTGTGTCGCCTTGGCTGTCCCGGAACTCACTCTGTAGACCAGGCTGGCCTCGAACCCAAAGATCCACCTGCCTCTGCCTCCCAAGTGCTGGGATTAAAGGTGTGTGCCCTACCCAGTTTAGGTCCTTGTGTTTCTTTAGCAAGGACTTTACCCACCCAGCCATCTCCCAGCCCCTAAACTCCTTTAAGATAAGATTTAACTCTGATCTGTCAGGTGCATCTTTTCTGTGATGCCGAGAATCTAAGTGAATGCCTGTTTGTGGGCCTTCCAGTCAGTGTCTTAACCTCTGTGAACCCAGCACAGATGCTTGTGTGGCGAGTAAGACATCTGAGGGTCAGTTAGTGCCGCCAGCTCTTCGACATGCTCCCAGAGGCATTAGTGGAAGAATGAGACGGACACACAAAGCGGTGGCCGGAATGCGCTCCCCGATTTTCAGCCTCTAGTTCTTGGTGTTCAGTCCCTTCACATATAAGATACGAGGACATGGTCATTATCTGTACTGACTCTATCTGGATAAGAAGGTTCATCAGTTGTTTCCAGGGAAACATGTTGCAAAAGAAGGCCCTTTGATACCCAGGAGATCAGAAATCCAGATGTCTTTCTTGAAAATACCGGGGAGCCACAAAGTATCACGTGGTTTCCAGCGGCAGCACAAACAATGGACATCAACACGGCCCTGTACTACAGCATGGACCATGGACATCATTATGGTCCCTGGTGGCAGCCTGGCCTACGGACATCAATATGATTTCAGGCAGCTGCACAGATCACAGCTATACAAATAGTCCTTGATGGTAACACAGGCCTCCGACACCAACACAACCCCATCTGCAGAAGGACAAGGCCCTTAGTAGCAGTATGGATCACAGACACCAACATGAACCCAGGTGGCTGTACTGGCCATCCACATCAGCATGGCCCCTGATTGCAGTAAGACTCATGGTTAACAAAATGGCTTCAGGTAGCAGCATAAACCGCTGACATCTGCATGACCTTCGGGGGGAACACAGGTCATAGAAATCACACAGACCCAGCTACAGCCTGATCTTCATTTTCTCAATTGAGGTTCCCTTCTCTCAGATGACTTTAGCCTGTGTCAAGTTGACATAAAACTAGCCTGGACAATTTGCATATAGGATTAGGTATTGTTGGAATACATGACTGGTTGGTAGAGTTTGGAGCCTCCCCATGGCCTGGCAGCTTGTCTCATTAGCTCAGCAATATGGAGCTTCCTCCTTCCAGCAAGGCTGCCTGCTTTCTACCTAACCATATCTGGAGAATGTCCTTATCTGAAAGCTGTCTCTACACCAGATGCCTGGTTCATCTTTAGTTTGACCCTTGACACAGATCCCTGCTAAAAAGTCTTGTGCTGGGAGCTCTGCCATTAGACCCTACTGTCAGACACTAAGCCTTGTGACTGGAGCATGCCACTTAATGCAAATTAGGGTTTGACCCCAGGCTTCCAAATCCTATGTATTCCTTATACTCTGCAATAAAGTTGAGCTGATTCACCAAAATCCGTCTCCCGGAGCGCTGTCTCCATTCTTGCTCATGGGTTCTACACAGCTTTCTGTTGCCCATTTTGCCTCTTTCCTCTCTCGACCTGGTGGCTAATGGGCTGAGGGGGAAAGAGGACTCTTACAAAGTATGTACAGTGGTAGAGAACTTGTGTGAAATCCCCATCTCCAGCAAGGCGAAGGAAAAACAGAAAGGAAAGCTTGCACGTGGATATAAACACGAATGTACCGGTTTGTTGTTGCCAGCCAGGTCCTATGCACAGGGGCACGTAGTTGTCCTCATTTTATCTTCAGACCAAGTCTCCCCAACTTGGCTTTGAACCTCTGATCTTCCTGCTCAGTTTCCAGAGTGGGTCTCTGTGCCACTGGGGATGAAACCAGAGCACACAGGAAGCAGGTCAGGAGATCAGGGTCACACTTGACAATGGGAGTTTGAGGCTGGTGGACTACATGAGACCCTGTCTGTTGGTGGGGAAGAAGCTTCTTCACAGGGACCCGAGTGTGTATCCATACGGATACAGTGTAAAGTAACACTATAATAATTATTCTACATATTATCTGAATCATATACTTGATGCCTGTTCCAAAGAGATCAGCAGCCACACAATGTGTGGTTTGCTTGTTCAGCATGTGCTTGCTTCTCATATCCTAAAGGAAGAATATTTTACAGCCGTGGGTCAGACACGGGCTTTCTAGTGTAATTCTGACCTTCTACTTCGGAGAGGTAAATGCCCTTTAAGCCATGGTCTCTGGGTTGACCAGCCCATTAATTTTAGGGCTGCAAGGTCACTGCAAAGAAAACACGTGGTGAATTGCATTTTAATTTGAGCAAATTAGCAAGTTTCAAGGCAGCTTTGTGGGGGAGGTGGTTTTTTTTCTTTTAAGAGTTAATGAGTAGAAATTCTGATCTTTGTTTCTAATTAATTTTCTCCATTCTCATTTGCATTTTATTTGTTAAAGTCCCGGCTAGGCTTTGTCTGGGTGAAACAAGAACTCCTCAGGAAAGGGACTGGGTCTCCAGTTTGACAATATACTTGTGATGAAAAGCTTCTTGGGAGCCGGGGCTGGGGTTAATGTGCTGTGTATCTGCATCCTGTGTCTCAATCAGCTCCTCCAGTGAACAGCTGTTCTGAATCATTTCTGGTGGCTGACGAGCTGGGAAGCACAGAGTCACTCGGCAGCTTCTCCTCCGTCTGCTGTCTTCATCCTCTTTCTTTGTTGCGTCCCAGCTTTGGAATCCTTTCGATAAGTCGGCCACGTTTTCAAAGCTGGTGCAAGATCTGTCTCTGAGATCAACAGCCCCAGCCTAGGCGATTCCTGGCCTTGAATGAAGGACTGCCATTCCCTACCAGTCCCTGAGACTCTGGGAACAGAAAGGCTGGGCCCTTAACTGCCCAGCACTGCTAGAGTCTGGCCTCGGGCTCGTCCAGTCACTGGTACCCATGTTTGTAGATTATGTCTTTTCCAGAAAGTTATTGTTTATGGCCAGTTTGCTTAGCTATTCCTTGTGCTTTGAGGTGGATATGAGTTTGAAGGGCTTCCTATGTCCTTCCCCACCCACACACCAGTTCCCACCCCCCCAATGTTTTCTCTTCACGTTCAGTACAAGACTCCCTTCTTTCAGCTTCTGTTCAGTCCCAACCTCCTCTGCCACCTATGTACATAGATCTGACCTTCCTTCACCTGCCAGCATTCACAGTGATGGTCTGAGCAAGGCAGCTGCAGCGCCATTGCCTGCTCAGTCCCTGGAGGCTCACTGTGAAACTCAGGTGTGGCAAGTCTGTGTCTTCTTTCGACTACAACTTCTCCTGCCAACAGTCTGTCTCCTCTCTTGTCTGGACACCAGGCAGCTGTGGCTCTTTCAGAGGACCACAGGGATCAAACTGGGTTCACACTGAATTGAGACCTAAGACAGTGTTCAGTCATGCTGACTGTCCTCATGAAGAAAGGCTTCTAGCACCTCTTCCCCATTTCCACCCTCCGCCAGTGATGCTTCCTGGGTCCGTAGACATGAAGGGGCAAACGGGTGTCACTGTGAAGTAAGTGGGTGTCTTTCTGGTAGCTGCTACCTTAACTCTAAGACATACCATAGTCAAAAAATTAGAATAAAAACAAAAGAAAAACAAACAAACAAACAAACAGAGAACAGCCCAAGAGAAGACATAAGAAACAGAGACCCACTCATTCACACACTCAGGAGTCCCGTAAAAACATTAAACTTAAAGGCATAATATAAATGCAAAGGGCATTCTTCTGTTGGTTTCCTGAGCTCTGAGGGGAGGTTCTTGATAGAGACGTCCCATTTAGGGCTGAGTGTTCCAAGGTCTCTCACTGTCAGCCTAAGGTCTAGCTGGGGGTCTCTGTATTTGTTCCCATCTGTTGTAGAAGGAAACTTTGCTGATGATGGCTGAGCAAGGAACTGATCTATAATGCTAGCAGAGTGTCATTAGAAGTCACCTATCAGTCTGTCTGTTTGTCTGTCTATTTATCTATCTATCATCTATTATCTACCTATTAATTATATATCTACCATCTATTATCTATCATCTATCTATTATCTATCTATCTATCATCATCTATTATCTATCTATCTACCTACCTATCTATCTATCATCTATGATCTATCATCCATCTATGTATCATCTATTATCTATCTATTTATTATCTATCTATCTATCTATCATCTATTATCTATCTATCTATCTATCTATCTATCTATCTATCTATCATCTATCTACTATCTATCTATCATCTATTATCTATCTATTTATCCATCTATCATCTATCTATCTATCATCTATTATCTATCTATCTATCTATCTATCTATCTATCTATCTATCTATCTATCTATCTATCATCTATCTATCCACTAGAACTGTAGCATTTGGTTTTACCCTAGGTCCTTGGACTATTTAGTCTCAGGTCCTTGCTCACCATGGCAGTGTCAGGTCTTTGTTCCATTCGTGGAGTGGGGCTTTCAGTTGAA